CAGAGGGGGGAGCTTGTCCCACTAGTCCCACGTGCCTGGCCTGGCCACTGAGCTGCTTCTTTCCACTTCTTTCTTCTTCTGCTTCTGCACACAAGGAAAGCAGCAAAAGTCTTTCTTTCTCTCCCCCAAACTCCACCAGAAATGAGTCTTTGGGACCTGCAAGACCTCCTGCTCCAAGAGGCTGCACCGGCAAAGACTCATTCCTGGTGGAGTTTGGGGGAGAGAAAGAAAGACTTCTGCTGCTTCTGCTGCTTTCCCTGTATGAAGCCAAAAGTCTCTCTCTCTTTCCCTGAGAATGGAGCTGGAGACAGTATCGATTTGAGCTGCGATCTCAAATAATGATCGATCAGTAGGAAAACGGGGTGGGGAATTTTCCTGCAAACATTTGGGGGGATTTTCCCAGGGACTCTGGTCCGTGGGATTTAAAATGATGTTTGGTGGTCCTTGAGGTCCAAAAGGTTGGCGACCCCTGCTATACAACACAGAACATAAAATCATCAGGCTGGAAGGGACCTCAGAGGTCTTCTAGTCCAATTCTTCCTCAAGGCAGGAGATTTTATATCATCCCGGTCAAGTGGTTGTCCAGTTTACTTTGGAAACCCCCAGTGATGGAGCATCCACTACTCTAGAAGGCAGGCTTTGCCAACTAATCTTTTGCACTTTTGGTCTGTAAGATTGGTATCATGTTTATATTGGCAAATACAGTTTGGGGGCCTTAAAAATTGTGTGTTTAATCAGCAGCTAACAGAAGGAAAGACATCATCCAGACAGAGGACAACAGGGGTTACAAAAGGGCAGATTAGACAATCCCCATTTAACAACTTCGTTGCAGCTGTTTCAAAACTATGAAGGTCAAGGCGTCATACTCCAATCAGTGATTACAGGAGAAATTTTGCCTAATGAGAAAAGATAATAGACAGCTGGAAACAGGACAAAGAATATAAGTATAATGATCTGAATTGAGATGAAATAAATAAAATAAAATTAAGAAAGTTAAAAGAGGGGAGAAGCTATATAGAAAATGTAGAATGGTAATAAGATATAGAATGGTATATAAAATGAACATGAATTTGAATTTGTGTCTGTATGAAGAGTTGTAACCCTGGATCAAGCTGCTTTCAAAAAAGATGTTTTATGTTTTTAAATTTTATGTTTTGTCTAATTATGTTTGTTCTTAAAAATCAATAAAAAAATTTTTTTTTAAAAAAACTATGAAGGTCAAATAAGGGATGAAGAAATCAGATCAGGGGTTTTTCAACTGGTACCAATTTTAAATTGGTAAAATCATTGAAGTTCTTTTAAATCTTACTCTTATATTTGGTCATTTCAGTACAATTACTGCATGCAATTTGGATTATAAGCAATAAGCACTTAAACATATATACCACTTTACAGCCCTCTCTAAGCGGTTTACAGAATCAGCCTATTGCAACCAACAATCTGGGACCTCATTTTACCCACCTCAATTCTAACTTGCTTCTCTCCTTATTTAGTGTCCATCCGTTGTTTCTTACCTTGTTTTGGAAAGTAGATGTTTTGGAAAGTAGGCTTGACCCCCTCTTCTTTGTGGCAACCCTTCATATATTAGAACACTGCTATCATGTCACCTCTCGTCCTTCATTTCACAAGACTACACAAACCCAATTCCTGCAACTGTTCTTTGTATGTTTAGTCTCCAGCCCCCTAATCATCTGGGTTGATCTTTTCTACACTCTTTCCAGAGTCTCAACATCTTTTTGATAATATGGTGATCAAAACCGGATGCACTATTCAAAGTGTGGCCTTTATAAAGCAATACTAATATTTCATGTAATCTTGATTCTATCCCTCCATTAATGCAGCCTAGGATTGTTATCTTGCTCTCCAAACAACATGGCCAACGTCTGCTAAAGAACTGTTTTGCATTCCAAATCAAGGATGGATACATCCCTCAATTATTTAAAAGCATATTTTAGCACATTTTGAGGACTAGTATCCACTTCATGTTTTTATTTGTTTTTATTAAACACCTTTCTATGGCACCACAATCAAAACAATTCTGAATGCCAAGGAGAATATAAAAGATTGGCAACATCACATCAATTCAGGGAAAAGTTCTCTGAAACAGCTGGGTCTTCAAGCACTTTCAAAAGATCAGCAAAGAAGTTCTATGTATTTTTTGAAATATTAGCAAATGCATAAATTCCTTTACCTTTTTAGGTACACACCCAACATTCACCTAAAAGAAGAAAAAATCATACCGTATTTACTGCAAACATCATGAATCAGTACTTTTAATATAAACAAGAACAGCATTTAGAAGGTACGTATGACTACTGAAACATTACTAATTTACAATTAATTTTATTTTCTTAATATCAACAAAATGTACATCATCTTGATCAATAATAGTATACTTAAGGTATTTTTCAAGAAGGGGTTGCATTAAACTGTTGTATACTGAAATCCCCCTTAATGCCTAATATTAGGGATGAGGGAAATATTTTGATTGCATCAAGCTCCACAGGAATAAATTGGGTGAACCTGAGAATGCCATTGGGAATATGGATAATCTAAGAAACTACTTGCATTCTGCATCTCATTAGCCTGAGCATTAGCTCTTAATCATAATAACAAATTTGAAGCACATTTCATTATTCAGTTAGGTAGATACTGGGTTGGTCAGTATCTGGTTAGGGTCTGTATGAGTACTTGTCTTTCTAAATACCTTTGAATAGTTTATATATGATTAAAGTTTGCATGAAAAAGCACCTTTTATCAGGCAATCTGAATGATTTGCTTGGCCCTTGGTTTCTTCTTGAAGAGAATCCTTGTTAGTTCTTAAAGCAAGCCATTTTATAACCCAATCAACACATTCAACTGACATTCTTACTGATTCCACTGAATGCCTAAATTCAGAAATTGTCTTTCACGGATGTTAGTAAATTCTTTTCCACTTTGGACTCTTCCAGCTGTTGCTATTGCTTCTTGATTTATTACGTGCCTGCAAGTTGGCAAAGGCTGTTGGCTGCCACATAGATGTTGCTATTGCTTCTTGATTTATTACATGCCTGCAAGTTGGAACAGGCTGTTGGCTGCCATATAGATCTTCTCCATGATCAGCTCTCTCCAATCTGCTCCTTCAGGTGTTCCAACAGCATATCTAAATCCATCCACCTTGCTGCTATCATCCTTTTCTCTTTCTTTCTGTGGTTTGCAGCATTATGTAATTTCAACGTCTTCCAGAATTCCCAGCAAACACAATCAAAGGATGGGAGCTTGAGAAACTATAGCCTCACAACTTTTGAAGGGTTATTAAACTGGGGAAGGCTGCTCTATTTAATGACAGAAAACAGTTTAGAGTTAAGTTCTTTGAATATACTGTACATTCTAAACTTTACTCCTTATTTAGCCCTTTCTCCAGAATTTTATTCACTCATATTTTCCAGTCTTTGCATCATTACCAAATAATCAATTTTAATATTGCCAACCCGGTCTCTCCATAACTAATTTGACATTTTTCTTCAACAAACTATGATCATCACCAATAAGCATCAAGCCACATCTTTAATGTTTGGACCGTTGAGCTTTTAAAGTTAATTTCTTCAGGCACAATCTATTTTACTGCTTTGTGAATAGCATGATGGGGGGGACTAACAATTACCATTATCTCATAAATTAGAGGAAGCTATAATTCCAACTGGGAAGAAGTAAAGTTTAACACTTGGGAACATTCTATAATCTGATACAGAACAGCTTGCTACAATCAGAAAAAGACCCATGAATAATAATAATGTTATGTTCTTTTTAAAGGTATCCCATAGACACAGAAGAGATAAATAAGAAATGTGTAATTAAAAATATCCCCTGCTTCCTGCTTGAGATACAGAAGGATAAAGCCAGGAAAGAAACGTTGGAGACGGATGCAAAGACCAAAGCACTTCCTGAAATTTCGGTGAAAACTGAATTGGCCCCAAAGTGATGGGTTCTACCCACATCCCACTTGCCTTATCTTGAGGGTAAAAAGAAAAAAAAAAAAAAAAGCTATATATTAGATGCAAGATGAACTGCTATGTCACAAGGCACGGAGCTGCAGCAACACAATCCTAACCCGGGGACAACAACCAAAACCCAGCTGCTGTATTCACGCAACAGGCTGAAGTGAAGGCTGGGTTTCCCCCAGGCACCTGAAATCACAGCCCTGTTTAGACTTAGAATAACTTTATTTAGTCACTTTGAACGTCCGCTAATCGGCATACGTTAAAATGAAATCTCGTCGCATACGGCTCTCAAAGGGTCTCCACCTCCAATTTTCGCCCAACACTGTTTAACTATTTCTGCCCTGCCCACCCACGGCGTGTCGGTGACGGGGGGAGACTTCCACGCCCTCGGGCTCTTGCCGAACTCAATGCCTTGGCATAAGCCCACTCAGGTAAGCCTACTCACCGGGTATGCAGGCGAGCCTCCTATGAGTATATTTGCAGGCAGCCCACACACACACATACTTTTTCCTCTTCCTCCCTCACCCGACACCCCGTTTTGGACTCACGCAAGTGCCTCCAAGTCGCCCTTTTTCAACCACAGCAGCCCGGGCTCCCAGTTGCGCGGCGCGTCGGGCACTTGCCAACCCGCCCGAGCCGCCCCCCAGCACCAGGTAGTCAAAGGTGGTGGCCGACGAAGAAGAGGCTCGCAGTTGGGCCATGGCGGCGCGGCGAGGAGGACGGAAGGGAACTGGGCAGAAAGCAAAACGTAGGCGAGGTAGCCGCATCCCGCCTCTTTTCCTTCCTCGGGGGTCGAAAGGGTTAATTCTCATGCCTTCTCATGCCTGGATCCCGCCTTGCGGCAGCTCGAGACGTGCGGAACTCTTCCAGCCTCTCGGATTGGCTGCGACATCCGTCAATCTCCAGCGGAGGAGAAAGAGATAAACGAATTCCGTCTCTGAAGGAAGCCCAAGCGGGGGGGGGGGGGGGGGGGGGGGGGGGGGGGGCGGACGGATGGACGGGCATTTGCTCTCGTCTTGCTGCTGGCCTCGCTTTCGGCGGCGTTTTCGTGCTGCTACGGTTCGAGGTTTCTGCTTTGTGGCCGTCGGTGGCTTGCTTGGATAAGCGCAAAGTCACCTTCTAACCAGAAATGGTGGCTTGGGGTTCTCCTCTTTCTATATACAGATATTAAACTGCAGCGAAGGAGGAGAGTCACCTGCTGCAGGTGGGGGAAAAACTGATCAAAAGAGACGCCGAAGGCAGAGAATCGCGCAGCGGACAGAGGCTTCCGCGAGGATGCAACGTAGGCAACCCTGGCTTAGGCGCGCATATTGTGCAAACGCAGAAAGTAGTAACCGCCTGGGTCAGGCAAACACAGCATAAGTAGTCCCAAAGGTGCTTTTTCAAGAGGCAACTGGAGTTTCTGGTTTTTCTTTGAAGACGTTTCGCAAGAAGATTCAGTTCTGAAGAACTGAAAAAGCTTGGATCAGAAGCGAAATATCTTCAAAGAAAAAACAGAAAGTTAGGTTGCCTCTTGAAAAAGCACCTTTAAGACAACCTGGATGACTGAGAATCTCCATAGACACAGCCTATGTAGTTCTTTTGTATAATGTAGTAACTTTAATTTTAGCGGAAAGGCAGGAAATCGTCTTGTGTTTGGTTTTTTTTTCAGCTTCATCTGAACAGTCTTTGCCAACAACCTCCTCGATTTTATTCCAGGCTATTACATAGTCCAGTTTCCCCAATTAGAGGTTTTAAGTTGGATAAAGCTGGGGGTTTCTGTGATATTTATTTATAAAAATGGCACAGATGAAGGCATGCACAATAAAACAGTCTGGTGAGCATCAGGAGAGATGCACACAGGTTAATATATGTTCTTTCCCTTCACTCCAAAAAGAGACTTCATTCCTTTCTACTTAAAAGTTTTTTGGATTAAGTTTGTTTTGTTTCAAAACACATGGTTACCTATTCTCATTCTCAAAATGGCAGGGAGAAAATGTCAAGTGATCTTTATTTATTCACCGGGATTGCATTAGTTATATTCTGCTTTTCGTTCAGAATCTCAAGGGAGTCCATTCTGTGCTTGCTCCTATTTTTCTCTGGAACAGCTCAAATATGTTGGGCTGAGAGAGGGATTGCACTGTCTGTCGGAACCCTAATCCCTTATTATGCAATCACTTCTGGGTTCCCCCCATACCTGCTAAGGAAAAACAGAATTGCATAACCAGGTTTGGTTTACCTGGACCTCCCTTTGTTCTACACTCAATACAGTGCATTTCTGTTAAAAGTTTCAGTGAATCAGTACTAACCAATGACTCAACAGGAAGAGGCCATGTAGAATTCCATACATGGTGCAAATTAAGAGACCGTGTGGAAATAACCAATTGCACAATGCTGTTTGACCAGTAATACTAGAAACCAGCCACTGAATCTTCTCATTTTTAGTAGGAAGGATAGTAAAGAATTCTCAAATGGTCATCACATTTTAAATGTGTTTTAAGAAACCATATTTCTCCCAGTTTCCAATATGAAACATGTTTTTCTTGTCCTTAGTGATGAGTAGGTTGCAACTGATTAAATTGCGGGCACTACAGAGTTGGAAAACAAGGAATTGCAGAAGTTTTTTATTGTCAAATTTAGTTAGGTAACATTTTATTCACTCATTTCCCCCCCCCCCCAAAGAATAATAGAAAGCGTAGGCTTGACACAGCAATCTAATTATGTTGTTTACTAGTTATAGTTAGTTAAATGCATGGAAGATTGGCAGTAATAATCCTAGCAGCAGACACATCAGTCTTCCTCATTCTTAGACCCTCTAAACACACAACATTACCATTTGCAGAAACTCCAGCTTTAGTCATGCTGGCTAGGAATTATGGAGTGTGGTAGTGGTTGTCACCTCAAGAAGATACAATTTGAGAGAAGGTTGATGCATGGTTTGTGCTTCAGATGGATGACTTGAATCTAATCTTCTAGTCTAGTGATTCTTGAAAAGGGAAGAGATTCAGCGGCTAGGATTGTATTTGCTAAAAACTAGAAAAATGAGAAAATACCATCACAGGAGGAAATCATTAAGAAAATATTGGAATGTGCTGAAATGAGTAGATTGACATTTGAAATTAGAGAACAAGAGGATAATTTTATAAAATTTGGGATCTTTTCTATCAATGGTTAGACAATAAAATACAGTAATGAAATACGTAGACTTTTAGAAAATAATAAATATATAAAGTACTTTTTTCTTATATTTACAAAATGATTTTAGGATAGATTTGGGATGATAATATGAACTGTTATAAAATAAACTAAGTAAATTATGATTATCCTGTAAAACATGAATGAATAAAAGTATAGTCAAATGATTGATTAATAATGATACTAAGGGATTTAATTTTTGATTGACAATATGAGATCATATGCAATGTAATTGTAATTGAAGACTATGAAATGGAAACACAAAACAATTTGTAAACCAACCGGCACACTGTATGTATACCTATGGAAAAGATAGCTTGATGTTTTTATGTTTTGTTTGTTTATGTTTGTTTTTAAAAACCAATAAAATTTATAAAGTAAAATAAAAAAATAAAAATAATAAATAAAAAGAAAAGGGAAGAGATTGTTGTTGACATGCCAACAGTGAGCAGTTCCTCTTAGTTCCTTATCACCACAGTGTCATACGTTCTTGTTTCTCTTTGATAGCTCCCACTTCTCCCACATACTTCCATGTACTTCAGTAATTCTACAGTATGGTACTTCATCCAATTTCATATTTAGATCCTTATTATCCCTTTTATGTGTGCATTAACCCTACATGTCTCTAACCACTACTGATCTACTGTTTCCATGTTGTCTCAGAAGGAACTGATGCTTTCATCGAACTGACCAAAACAGTCTCATCCCTTCATGTTACATGTGTTCCCCTTTAGTATCTGCATGCAAAATCACACCCCTCTACAAAAAGGGTGGCGATGCTGATGGCATAACACTGTTTTGTCATTTTCCTTCCTTGGACACCCTTTACAAGACATCCATATTTTATATATATAGCATGAAAGTCAGAACATATGCACATGGCGTATCATTTCATCTAAGAACTTACTGATGTTTTCTTCACAGCAAGACAGGTGAAAAAAGAATGAGTATATTTTTATCATTTTCCATTAGAAAAGAAAGAAAGAAAGCAAAAGACTCCACAGCTGTTGGCGATCCAGTATCTTTATGGACAATTTGTGGTGTACCAGTTGACAAAAACTAAACATGCAATATCTATAAAGTTTATTAGAAATCAATTAGTGGCAGAACATGACCGGAATGTGGATTTTCTGCTGCCAAGGGATAAGCCAGACTTCGAAATCACATGTGAGTTTCTGAGGGGAAAAACAAAACGAAAGGCATTAAGTCAGACAAAAGAGAAAAGCCAGAAAATTGCCTTGACCCTTTTACAATTCTATGTGCAGAAACAATTTGCTCCATCTTCTTTTTGTAGATATGAACACAATTTAATTCCTTCCACTACAGTGACAGGATACTGCAATCAAAAGTTTCCAGAGTTGAAGATGTATCAGCAAAAAACCTTCTATGATATCCTTTTCAAACAGGTAGTCCTTGCTTACTGGCCACTTGTTTAGCAATATTTGGAGTTACATCGGTACTGAACTAGGAGACTTATGACCAGTCCTCAAAATTACCTCCACACAGTCATGTGATCATAATCTGGATACTTGGCAACCAGTTCACATTTCTGACAGATGCAGCATCCCCTGGTTGTATAATTGTCACCTGACCTTCCCTGCTGACTTCCTATAAGCAAAGTCAATGGGAAAATTGGCAAGAAGTCATAAGAAATGATCACGTGTTTTCCTTGCATAACAATTGCTTAAGGAACAGCAACTGGAAGTACTGCAACTGCCATCATAAATTGGCCCAGTCACATCAGTATTCAGTCGGTTCGCACCAGTTTGGGCAAACTGGTAGCAAGGATTTGGTGTGGGTCACCAAACTGGTAACTTCTGGCTGGCCACGCCCCCAACCCAGTTGCTGGTCGCTCACTTGCCCCGCCCACAGTTGTTGCTACTAGTTGTCCTCTGCAAAGTTCTGGACGATTGGCAGAAGGCAATAAGGAGACACAGAAAATCATTGCTCTTTGCTGCCATCTAATCATTGTTCAGATTTTCACAGTTCAGATCTGGTACTCCTACCCACCCTGGATTTCTCAGAACAGCACAAAGAAGTTGAACATACTTTTCTCAGCAGCAGCATCTTCTGGAAATCACATTTGTCCAAGTTGGGATGCAGCATTCTTTTGCTGCATACAGTCCTGCGGATATCGACATTCAGTCTATATTTCACTCCTTTCACAATCTAAAAAAAAAAAAAAATCAGTTTTCATTTATTATAGAGCACTGAGAACAGGCAAAGTAAAGAGAACAGAGGCCAAAGAGAGGTCAAAAAGATTGGGGGGGTGATGGTAAGGAAACTGGAGGCAGTTGAGAATATGTAACCTACTGTTCACAAGTTGATCTGCAAATATTTTGTGTAAATATTTTTAAAAATAATTTCAAAGGATAGAGGCTATAATATCAGAAAACACATTCTTGACTGTGCTAGGTCCATTTCCTGGTTTCTAAAAACAGTAATCTAGCCAGGAATTGGAGAACATTGGAACAAGTTTCTGGTTTCACATAAACCCAAAGCAACATCAATAAAAAAGTATGACTACCACCTGGGTTTGTCCAGCCATCAACACAGCTGTGACAGCTGCTGGACCAAGACATAAACAATAGCTTAGCTTTCTTTTCCAGAAAAGACTGAAGCAAGAATACAACCCATGCCTGAAGCAAGGGTGGTTTGAAGAGGACCTTCCATCTTGCCAGGTGTGCAAGGAGAGTTTTGCAGCAGTGAACTCTGGCCCTTCCTTCTCTTTGTTGTTCTCTTCTTTCCCTGCGGACTTTAAGATCTTAGGAGCAGTACTGGACCATGGGTGGAGCTCTAACTACAAAAGGAAGAGGCTGGTGGCACCTGAGCATGCGGGGAATCTGCTAGAAGAAGATACATGGGTGAGTGAGGAGAACACAAGAAGATGCATGTGAGAGGGTGCAGCAGCTGCTAGAAGAAAGGACAGGGTGGTTGGTGGTAAAGAAGAAGCTGATTCCAGCACACCAACATGGGAAGAAAGGGGAAGCAGAGCTGTTGTAAGATGCCCCCCCCCCCAATGCCAACACAGTAAGACTATAAAACCAACTGTTTCTTGTTTCAGCTGCACTTAGAATAACAGCTAGTAGAAACAGACCCAACAGATTCCAAAGTGGCTAAAAAAATTGTTACAGCCCAGGCAACAAATGAGAAAAAAAAATGTTTATAGGACTGTCCGTATTGTTTTGTTGTGGTGGTTGAAATTTTCCAAGATTCATGAACTCTAACTGGCTAAAAAAAAAGAATAAGCAAACAATAGGGTGTGCATAAATGCACAATCTTGCCTACCGTCCCTGTCTTATTGTCCCCATTTATTTGTACCTATTTCCTGTATTCATACTCATGTTTATTCTTATACCTATTATCTTGTAAGCAATTGACAAATCAAATCAATCAATCAATCAATAGCACTTTGACCACTAGAGGGAGCGATGGAGATGTTTAACTCTGAACTGGAGTGTGTCATCAAGGAACTTTTTGATGGGTCTATAGTACAGAAAATCATTTATACCATAAATCAGTTAGGGTTCAAACATACAAATTATGCAGAGGATATTAAAAAAGAAGAAGAGACACAACTAGCAAAATTATCAACCCACTGTGTCAATTTGACAAATGGTGGATAATGCAAGTAACTTTATGTTTGGAATATAAATCTGACACCAGCTTTTATTATGATGGTTCGAACATAACCCAGTGCAACTGAAACAAGAGTGCCAAGTAAATTCACAACTCTTAAGAGGTCAAGTTTGGGATTTTTTCTCCATTAATATTAACAAGGTCGGGAATTCTTTGAGAAAAAAAGATATGATAGACATCATAGAGAAGGAGACTTTATTCTACAGGAGGAGACTTTATCCTTCAGGTTAATCTACAATCAGGATCAAGGAAAGTACTAATACCACTCTATAAAGCCTTAGTAAGACCATACTAAGAGTATTGCATTCAGTTTTATTCACCACATTATAAAAAAGATGTTGAGACTCTAGAAAACGTACAGAGAAGAGCAACCAGGATGATTAGGGGACTGGAAGCTAAAACATACAAGGAACAGTTGCAGGAACTGGGCTTGGCTAGTCTAGTAAAGAGAAGGACCAGGGGAAACATGATAGTGGTCTTCCAATATTTGAGGGGCTGCCACAGGGAGGAAGGGGTCAAGCTATTTTCTAAAGTGCCTGTAGGCCAGACAAGGAATAATGGATGGAAACTGAACAAGGAGAGATTTAACCTGGAAATAAGGAGAAACTTTCTGACAGTGAGAACAATCAATCAATGGAACAGCTTGCCCTCAGAAGTTGTGGGAGCACCATCACTTGAGACTTTCAAGAAGAGATTGGACTGCCATTTGTCAGATATGGTGTAGGGTCTCCCGCTTGGGCGGTGGGTTGGACTAGATGACCTACAAGGTCCCTTTCAACTCTGATTATCTGTTATCTGTTACAACATCTAGCAGAACAACTTTGGGACATTTTTTTCATGGATATTGTTGAGGTAATTCCCCGTTAGAATGAGCACATACAGGAAGACGTATAGAGAATAGTGTTTGAATAATACACACACAGCATACAGATACACTGTACAGTAAATGTAGGGCTTTACTTTCAATAAAGGTTTAAGCAGAATTCAAAATAGGCAGTCCAAAGTCATTCACAGGTTAAATCAGTCAGTTTTCAATCCAGGGATAATCCAGTAACAAAGTCCAGTTTCAAAAACAGTTCAGTATCAGACTTACATCAAATCCATGAATATCAGTCAATTAGGAAAAATGGAGCAACGGCAATACTTTCCAACAGAAGGAAACAGAGATACACTCACACTCTCTTCTGAGACTCAGACTAAGACTAAAACAACCCAGGTTTCTGGCTCCATCTTATGGCCGTTTGAGAAACCACACCCAACTACAGTTTTGTATTTTCTTAAAGATACAGTTTTAAAATGTCTATCTAACCCAAATACCTGTTTGATGACTCATATTCCTAACATTCTCCCCTTTGGGGTAAGACAATATATACAACCTTACATTCTAAGTCCATAATCTTCACAGCACACCTTATGCTTTATAGAGCCTTGGGTCTTTATAAAATGATCCGCTATATTGTTTTCTGACATACAGTATTCTAGCTTAATCATTTTACTTTGCACACATTGTCTCACATTTAAATATCTTAAATCTGTGTGTTTCATTCTTGTTTTAACAGCAATATTTGAAGCCATCTGTATTGCTGATTGGTTGTCTTCGTAAACTACAATAGAATCTGTTATATTAATTCCCATATCAATTAATAATTGCTTATACAAAACTAAATCTGTACATAATAAAGACAAACATGAGAATTCAGCCTCCATTGTTGACGAACTTAGATGTTTCTGTCCAATAGACTTCCATCCAATCAATGCTTTTCCCAATAATACAGCAGTACCCAATGTAGATTTTCGTGTATTTATGTCTGTAGTAAAACTTGCATCAGCATATGCAGTTAAACTCAGTTCATTTTTAGGCTCCAAATACAATGCATAATGCATTGTTTGTTTCAGGTATCTTAACACACATTTAGCAGCTTGCCAGTGCCTTTCAGTTGGCTGAGTGTTAAATCTAGCTGATTGATTAACACTGTATGCAATATCTGGCCATGACCAATTACTGAGATAAGATAAACTACCAATCAAGGACTAATAAATGTTCTTATCAAAAACAGGACTTTGAACATCACTATTACACCATTATTTTCTCTTTTAAACAAACATGGATCAGCCATGCCAGCTACAAAACCTATTTTAGTTAATTCTTTAACTATACATTGGTTCCACTCATATCCTTATTGCTTCAAACCATAAAGACTCTTTTTCAATTTCCAGCAATCAGTTGTATTATCATCTTTGATACCTAAAGGTTTCTCTAAATATATAGTGTGTTGCAATGGTGCATGCAGATATGCCGTCTCTACATCCAAATGATTTACAATATATTTCTCTTTAGCTGCTCAGACTAATGCTGCCCTTAATGTAGTAGCCTTCAGACTAGGTGCAAACACCTCATCGTAGTCATTTGCTGTCTGATTAAACCCTTGTGCTACTAACCTGGCTTTATGGGTAACAGTCCCATCTACACCTGTCTTCAGTTTATATATCCATTTGCATCCTATGGCATGTTTACCTGGTGGTAACTTAACATTTTCGTATACATCCAGTTTTTTTTAATGATTCCATTTCCTTATCCACTGCTTTCTGCCAAGCATCCTGATCCTTAGCAAGATACAGTTTTAGTTCACTATAATTACTTGGAACTGTATTCACTTGGCATACACTAGCCTGATATCTATCAGGTGGTCATGTTACTTGGGATGAATGTCTAGGTAATACAAGGCTAACTGGTGGACTCTCCTGTGCCACCTGCTCCTGTTCTTCTA